GGATGGGCGGCAGCAGGGAGGGGGCGCGCGGGAGTGGGAGTGGGGAGGCAGAGGGCCCCAACCTCCAGGCCACTGCTGGCTCCGCCTGATCTGGGGTCTGGAGGTGGGTCATCCCTCCCCTGCCTTCACCGAGGTGGTTAGGGCCAGAGACTGTGACCAGCTCACTCGTGTGCCGGCTTTTCCTCTGGTAAAGGGAAGTTTGGGGGAGGGGTGTGCAGGGTGGGGAAGAAACCACCTTGGTTTTCGTGACCAGAAGTGGGATCCTCCTTCACTGGGGAAGTCAAGGTGGCAGCATTGACGCGTCTGTGCCGGGGACTCCTGCGTCCTGGCTTCCCTCCCGCCTCACTGCCTGGGCCTCCACTGACAGCTGTAAAATGGGGCTAGGGCTGCCTGCTGGACCCTCTGGGTTCTCGGAGAGACTGCCTTGGAGCGAGGAAGGCACCCAAACTGTAGAGGGCTGTGCACAAGTGTAGGGCGCGTCAGAGATTAAAAGGAACTTTGCCCTCACTCTGCCAAGCCCCTTGTTTCGGAAGCCTTGGCCGAGTGCCCGCTGCGTGCCAGGCAGTGTCCCCACTTCACTCGGGCTCTCTCAGTTCAGTGGGACCGAGGGACCCACGAACAGGCAAGTTTGTCTCCTGATGAGCTTTGAGAGTCCCAGGAAGACCCAGGCAGCCTTGCTGGGGGAGGCGACCCATGAGCTGGGTTCTGTGGGGTGAGTAGGAGTGTGCTGGCGGAAAGGGGGAGGCGTCCCAAGCAGAGGAGGTTCAGAGATGTGAGCCAGCGAGGCTGGACACTGGGCGGGGTGGGTGGTGGTGGGGCCTCCCTGGCATAGCAGAAGCTTCTAAGTCTGTGGCTGTGAAAGCCTTGAAGGGAGGGCCAGAGGCTGGGGAGAGGCCGGGAGAGCCACCTCCCAATGGCTTTCTAGCCGCCTGGCTGGGGCTGGGCTGCCTGAACAGACCTCCTTCCCGCCCACCCTCACGCTCTGACCAGCCACACGGCTCCTGTGGCCCCGTCCCTCATTCCAGCCTCAGGCCGCTCTGCACCACTTTCAAGTCACATGGCTGCTTTGGCGCTGTGCCAGTGCCAGCGCTTCCGGAGGCGGTGTCCCCCGCCACACTGGGGCAAACCCAAGACGGGCTGACACCTCCTCCATCAGTTTGGGAGCGCCCTAAAGCAGCTATTTTCTCCCATAAGCTGGAGAGGGCCCAGGCAGGGATGTGCTCTTCCTGCCTTGCATTGGACCCCCACAGCCCTGGACAGAGAGGGATTCGGGAACCCATAGGGAGGGTTCCCTCCTCATCCCTTTCCTGGGGCTGCTTCCAGACCTGCCTCAAGCTGGTTCCGCCCCCCATGGGAACTTTCCATCCCACAGCTGCTGGGGAACAGGAGGGCAGGAGCTGCAGCTGGCCCAGAGCCTCTGTTTAATGAATGCGCCCCCATGTCCACTCTGCCCAAGTGTCCCCTCCCCGTGCTGGCGGCCTGGGCTTCACCAAGAGGCAATCAGCTCTCGGCGTGTGGAGGACTCAGCAGGGCCTCTCTCTGGCCAAGTCTACCTAATCCTGCTGATGAATTTAGGTCTGAGACTCAAGGGCTCCCAGGGGCGGGAGGGGGAAGGGAATCATGGGGAAACTGGGCGAGGCGGCAGCTCGGGCTTCTGTGTCCCTCCCCGCTGTCTGTGCGGGTCCTGCTTTCCACCCTCTGCCCTTTTCTGTCATCAGTAAAAATAAGAGAACAATGATAATGACCTTCATGGACCCTCTAAAGGCTCCAAGTCACTCCCGTAGCCTTCAGGTTAGTCCATCCTCAGCCATCCAGTGAGCCCCGCGGGGGTGGATCCTTCTCGTCACCTTTACAGCTGTGACCCTGAAGTCCAGAGAGGGGAAGTGACTTGTCCAAGGCCACACTGCAGGGTTGAGACAGAGCCCAATCAGGAGTCAGGCTCCCAGACCAGGGCTGTTGAGTAGACCAGAGCCACCCCACAGGGTCCCCAAACTCCCTCCCAACCTGTCCTTTCCCCCACCCCTTCCCGGTGGGAGCATGTACTTACAGGCTGTGTGGGCTCCGTCTAGTTACTGAACCTCTCTGAGCCTCCTTCTCCCTCTCTGTAAAAGACCAGCAGCCCCAGCTTCACAGACCTGAGTGGGGCTGGCCCAGAGAGAACGGCACGGACTCAGAATGTGGGTCTCTTCCCCGCCTGGGCCGGACAGAGAGGGGGCTGGCACAGCTTTCTCAGGGGCCTGGAGTAACAAACAGACTGTGGTCCAGCTCCCTTGTCTCCCTGGATCTCCCCGCCAGTGGGAACGAGCCTCGCTCTCCCCACTCAGCAGCCAGAGGGTTGTTATGACAACCGCCAGCATCCTGGAGGACCATTCCAGATCCTTTCAAACAACAGAGGCCTCTGCCCTCTTTGCCTGCTGCAGTCGGCCAGGGTTGGGTCCAGGCCCTGGAGCCCCAAATCCGGGCTGCAGAAGGGGTGAGCGGGTTCAGGAAGTGAAGTGGGCATAGACTCAGTTCCACGATGAGTCTAGAAAGCTGTGAGTCCTCGAGGGCGAGGGCGCGGGTGGAAAGCATAAAAGAGCCAAGAGAGAGCCAGCTGGTGTTGATTTGGAAGGCCGTGCACCTGAAAAGTAACATTGTAAAGCGATGTTCCTTCTGGAAGGATGGTTTCAAACCCGAATTCAAGGAGACTCGTGCTTTTGTACATAGAACACGAGTATCATGTTCTAAAATAGGAACCCTAAAAATAAATATCCCAAAACGCAAGGAGGCCGTCTCATTCCAGCCAGAGGCTGCTTAGCACAGAGGCTCTGAGCCCAGCCGCGCCCCGCCCCGTCTCCAGAACGGGGGATTGAAGACCCGCCGTCCTGCGTGGCCCCAGAGCGGGGCAAATCTGAATTAAAGCCCATGAAAACCCCAAATCGGCAGTCGTTTCGTCCCACGTGTGATTCGATCCCACTGGACAACACAAAGCTTGCGTTTCTGCCATCACAGAAAGTTCTAGTGGGCAGGGCTGCCCGAGAACGGAGAGGAACCTTATCAGACCAGGGTTTCTCCAGGGCAGGGCTGGGCTGGGCCTCCTCCGTCTTCCCTTCTGCTCCTCCCCCTCTGGCCTCACAGCTTGGAGGACTCTGCCCAGGGTGCTCCCCCATCCCTCACGGCTCCTGTCTGAGCTTGAGGCTCGCCTTCCCGCCCAGTCGGGGCCCCTGCCCCATCTGCAGGCTGGCCTCCTGCCCCGGCTGCCAATCTCTGCTTCCCCCCACCCCCACCCTCTGCCCAGAGGCCCCCGCGGGCCAGGGCTCCTTGTCCCTGTCAGAAAATTGAGGTCCTGCAGTGAGTTTCAGGAAATGAATCCTTGGGGTTAGTTGTGTTTGGCGCTGAGCCCCAGACATGCTGGGAAGGCCCAGGGACCGGCAGTGCCCACCTTGGCCTCCTCTGGGCCGGGCAGGGGCAGAGGAGGGGCTGGTCTCTGCTTTTAAGGCCAAGGCAGACAAGGCTGAGGGGGCTCCCTTGCCGCTGGTTCCCTTGTGTGATGTCACCTCAGGGGCAGTGGACATGAAAGGCAGGGATGATCCCCACCCCCATTGGCCAAGGTACAAGATGGAGAGAAAGGAGCCAGAGCCGAGGGGCGCTGCCCAGGGCTGGGTGACCTCCTCACCAAGGGAGCACCCCAGGGTACCGTCACCCATTGTGGCCTTCGCTCAGCTCTTGCCCAGAAGGCCTATCCCTTCACCTCCACCTGATCTCCTCTTGACCCCCAAGAAGTTGTAGTCGGTGTTTGGGGGGCAGATGGGGGAGTGGTTCCTTGTGGGAAGAGCCTGGACTTATTTGTGTCGCCGACACTTGAAGAGCTAAGGTAGAACAGAGGTGAGGACAGGAGAGCACAGCTCGAGTGCTGGCGTGGACACCTCCAGGGAGGCGGTGGGCCTTTGGCTCTGCTTCTCTGTGACTCAGTTTCTCCCTCTGTAGTGTGAGCACATGATCTTGCAGGCTCTTCTAGTTGCACCCAGAATGAGTGTCCGGACACAGGGAGCAGGCCTCAGGTCCCAGGCAGCTAGGCCATGCCTGGCACGAGCGGGGGCTCCCCTGATCGGTGAATGGATGAGTGACAAGTGCTCCGGGAATGCCAGGGGTGGAGATGGGAAGGGCCGGGGGGAAAGAGAAAGGAGGCAAAGGAGAAGAGAGAAGAACAGGGGGAGAAGAGAGGAAAACAATCACCTCTAATTGCTTCTCCTTTTCTCTCTTCCTTGGGACTCCCTTCTCCTCATCCACATTCCCCACAGCCCCCCCCGGGGCAACTGGGGCTACAACTTCAGAGCCCTGGCTAGGTACCTCCCGGCTCTGCTGGATCAGAGATGGGCAAGAGGTACATTGTTGGTGGGGCCAGGGGGGCAGTTCAGCCCCAGGGTGTCCTTAGCCTCAACAGCTGAGGAGCTTGATCAAGCCCTTCCTGCAGCCTCCCTGGCAAAGACCTGGGACAGGAACAGGTTTCCGGCCTGACAGACCCTTCCCGGCCGGGGAAGTGAACTGGCCACAGATGTCCTGGGCTCTCTGTACAGGACGCAAAGGCCTACACCATCCCAGACTCCAAGGTAGAAATTAGTGGGGATGATGGGGTGAGTGCTGTGGCCATGACCCGGGTCACCCAGAGATCCTGAGACATCCTACAAGAGCCTTCTTAAGGTCAGGTTCACTGGGGGACAGTGACTATACTGCTGAATTCTCTCTTTTTTTAAGAATGTAATTTTGACCAATGCATTTCGTCAGGAAAACACCCGAGTCCTAGCCGCGCTCCGTGTCAGTGCAGAAACCTAAATGCCCAGCTCGGGGGGATTTTACTTTTCAGGACAGGTGCCCTGAGTATTTAACCAGTCCCCTGGGGCCGGTCAAGACGATGCTGTGGTACATTCTTCTCCCTGGGATCCTCACAAGGTGCTGGGTCGGCAGGTGGCACAAAGCGCCCCCTTCTCACCGGGCCCCCTCCCTGCCGCCCCCTCCTGCAGGGAACCGGCTGGACGAAGGCTCAGACGTGGAGTCGGAACCCGACCTCCCGCTGAAGCGCAAGCAGCGCCGCAGCCGGACCACGTTCACGGCTGAGCAGCTGGAGGAGCTGGAGAAGGCCTTTGAGAGGACTCACTACCCCGACATCTACACCCGCGAGGAGCTGGCGCAGAGGACCAAGCTGACTGAGGCGCGCGTCCAGGTGAGGCTCCAGGCAGGGTCCAGAGATGGAGACTGAAGGGGTGGGGTAGCCAGGTAGGGGTGGGGGTCTGCAGTAGGCAGTCCAGGGACGAGGTGGACAAATAATGTCTCCAGCACTGGATGCAGAGTAGGTGGGCCACGAATGTTGGTTGATTGACTGACTGAGCACTGGACAGCCCCAGAGAAGCCAGGAGCAGTGAGGTCTGTTGGATGAACTTCATCCTCCAGGCAATAGGCACCCCAGGAGAGGAGGGAGGGTTGGAGGGCGGAGAGAAGGGCATTGGTGCATCCAGAAGAGCGGGCTCAGGGAGTGAAAAAAATCTCCTAATCTCTGAGGAAGAGAGGAAGTGATTAAGAGGGGAACTTCTGCACAGTCTCCCTTCCTCATCTGGGTGATGAGTTTCTTGTGCTGGGGCGTGCGAGCCCCAGGCAGGCCTGTTGCTGGGAGGCTGGAAGCATGCAGATCCCCTGCACCCTCAAGTGTGTGATTCCTGATCAGCGGGGCAGGGGTGGGAGAGAGCAGAAAGTGCAAGAAGCTGCCTGGGCTCCCTGTCCCCCGCTGTGAGTGTGTGTTTGGGGGGGGCCCTTTCGCCCAGGCTGAGGCTCAGATTCCTGCAGTTGTTCTGGGGCTGACAGGGTGGGCTTGTGCTGGCTGGGGGAGGAGGAGGAAGAGCTGGGAGGACAGTGAGGAACACTTTTGGGAATCCTTTCCTGGCCTGTCTTCCCCGTGAACTGGGAGGCCGGCCGGTGGGCAGAGGGGCCGCCCCAAAGTGTTCACAGGTTGGGGGGGCCTTCCATCCAGGCCAGCCAGCCTCTATTGGGGACCTACCTGTACTAGCTGCAGTGCTTCCACTTCTAACACACGACCTGGTGGAACCTCAGGCGGAGTTCAGCCAACACCCAGGGGCACGGAGCCTGCTGGGGGGGTGGGGGGCAGAGGGCAGCTGGGGGGTGCTGGAGCCCAGGTTCTTTCCATCTTGAAGAAAACGCGAACTCAGAGCCTAGGATTTGAGAGCAATAGGGAAAGTTCTAGAAGCAAAGTGGCATTTAAACACTGCAGAACCAGCATTTCCCCCTGCACCCTCCCCACCCCCACTCTGACAGCCTCTGAGGGAGACCCCAAGGGGAAGGGGGCAGGGGCAGCAGCCAGCTCATCTCACTCCCTCCCCGGCTCCCAGGCTGACATCGGAGCCTGCCCCCAGCCGCCCCTCCCCGCCTCTGATCCTCCTGCAGCTGTTCTCCTGGACACATTCCTGGGTGCTTTCTCATTCCCATGTCTGGTGGCTTCGGCTGCTTCCCACCACCTTGAAGCCTGACCACTCCTTATAAAATTTCCTGGCTGTCAGGGCTCTGCTTTTATTGGCCCAGGGGACCGAGGAACAGGTGTCACTCAAGGTCTGACGAAAGGAGAGGGCCAGGAAGGGGGGCGGCGGGCAGAGCCCAGGCGAGCCCACGGTGGGGGCAGTGCAGACCTCCTGTGCCTGCTGACTCCCCTACCATGCTCTGGGCTCCCCCAGGGCAGGGCTGAGGTGCCCCCAACCCCACCCCCTGCCCGGACCTTTCCCTGAATATAGGCGGGAACAGTAAGTGTTGAGTAGTTTAGGACCCAGATGACTGATGGAACACGTGGCCTGCAGAAGCGGGACCTCGGAGGCCACGGCTGTTCTGGGTGGCAGAGGCCAGGGCGGGGAGGACCTTCCCACATCCAGTCTGCAGGTCTGCGGGGGCCAGAGCCATCAGCCCCTCCCTCTGACCAGCTGTGTCACCTCAAGCAGGTGGAGACAAGTCAGTTTCCTCTCCTGAGAATTAATCTCACCTGTGAAAAGGGGATCAAACTAAATGATCACTAAGGTCCCTCGACATCCTAGGTGCCTTAATTATGGGCAATCAGAGCTTGTGGGGTGACCAGATGCCCGTTGTGGCAAGTGGTGAAGCAAAGCACAGTACCCAGGTGGCAGAGATGCTGGCGAGGGGGCTCCTGCATGGGAGCTGAACCTGAACCTGAACCTGTCGAGATTTTGTTCTGTACTTCCTGCTCTGTGCTGTCCGGGTCCTGGGCCCCACTATGATTTTGCAGCCCCGCACCGTCTCACCTCTGTGGCCTGGGAGGCGGGTGGGTGTTGGGGGGCTCAGAGCCAGAAGCCTAGGTTGGGAATTCCAGCTCCATCATGCCCCCTGCGGCCCTCAGTTCACCGTCTGCAAAGCAGACATGATGATAATCATCCCAAGGAGTAAACAATCACATGCAAAAAACCCCCACCCCACACGCCGTTAGGAGTGCCCAGCACATGGAATCTCCGTGCATGGAGACATTAGTGAAACTCCACCAGTCCATGGTGGTTCCAGTCATGGTGGTTCCAGTTCTGAAACTGGGGCTCATGTATGGGGCACCTCCTGTGTGCCAGACACTGTTCCAGGCATGGGGGGGTTCAGCTGGTAGAGTATGAGACTGATGTTCAAACCAACCAGAAAACAGGTGAACACAAGTCAGGCAGGGTCTGTGTGTTGTTACCTCCCCTGGCTGCCCTCCAGCCTGCTCCCCAGAAGGAGAGCCTCCCTGATGTCTGGCAGAGACGCCCCTGACCCAGCTTGCTGCAAGTCTGAGGGTTGAGGAAGGGTGTCAGGCAGGAGGACACAGCCTGGGGCCAGTGAGTCCTTCTGGGGGACCTTCGTCTCTAAACGACTGGTGGGCTGACCCCATCCTTGCACACACCTGCCCTGCAGGCAAAGAAATCTGTGTCCTGAGATACCCAAGCCTGCCTGTTTCTTCTAGAGACAGAGGCCCCCCCTGAACAGAGCCCCATTTTTGAGGGACTCCCTACCGAAGGACTGAAATCAGATATTTTTGTGACCCTCTGTGGTGCCCGCCCGTGCCAGCCAGGCGTTATCTCTCATCTCACCATGTCCTCTGAGGCACGTGTGTTGAGTCTCCCGTTTTGCAGGTGAGAAACCTGAGCTTATGCTAAGGGAAGTAACTTCCTGAAGACTCGATCAGAAGGGCCGCACTGGGACATGGCAGTTTGTCATGTTCTCTTCCTCTGTGCCGCCTTGAGAGATGAAATATTCAGCGCAGTGAACAGATGCTTCCTGCTTCCAGGCTTGTGCAGAGGGAAGGATCAAAACTGAGTAATAAAACTCAGTCTCTACTTTCAAGGAATCCAGTGCCTCCCAGGGGTTCTGGGAGGGATGCTGGGGCCGCTGCTGTCCCTCCTGGGAACCTCTGTTCTCCATCCGTAATGGGCCGCTTGCGCCAGGTGTGGGCTGGGGGCCCCGGCTCTGCCACGGGGGGGTTTCTAGCGGCGTAGAAACCCTCATGTTAACTCATGAGGTCCAGAACCGCCTGGAACGTGGGTGCTGTTTTAGCCATGAAGGAACTGAGGCACAGAGGGATAATGGATTTGCCTATCTTGGCTAGGCATCAAGGCAGGTTCAAGGTAGGCAGCCAAGTCGCAGAGTCCCTGCATTTAAACATCATGTTACACTTCACAAGGAGGGAGAGGCTTTGTACTGGGGTAGAGGCAGCCCCAGGGCAACAGGACAGGGAAGGAAGAAGAGGTGAGACAATTGACAGCAAAGAGCATGGCCTGTCTTCCAGGAAGTCCTCTAGATGCTGAGAGAGTTGGAAGCCCTTCCTCAAGCCCCTGGCTAGCACCTTGCACTTCACCCTACCTGAGCTTAGGCAGTCACTGTTCTGTGACTGGTGTGTTGGGGTCCAGGCAGAGGGCAGCTGGAGGGCGGAGCTGACCTCTTCATCCACAGCATCTTGTTGGGCACAGCGTGGAGTCCTAGCAAAGGTTTGGGAGCAGGAGGGAATGAGCAAGGGAGGTGGGGAAGGAGGGAGAATATGTCCGTTTCTTTCGCGCTCTTTATTTGTGGAAACCATGGCCCACACCTCAGGCACAGCTGCAGCGTGACCCTCCAGATCAGCTTGTCCCAAAGTTAAGTCATTCTCCAAGCGTCCTCAGGTTTCTTGCCACATTTGCATAGTATCCGTATTATTTGCTTTTTTAAAAAATAAAGTCAACAAATTAAAAATAAAAGTGTGTATCATGCTTGTGAAAGGACGCATGGGAATCACACAAGGGAAGACAAGCGTGAGTAGAGCCAGCTGGGAGGTCACCTGCAGAGGCGTCACCTGGCAGGAAGGAGAGGAGCAAGGGACAGGGTTAGGCTGAGGCTGCGTGAGCCCCGGGCAGAGACCAGAAGGCCTGGAGGAGAAGCGGGGAGGTTCGGGGTTACTTAATGTCTGTCACTTGCCATCCGGGCTGTCACTCCAGTGTGAAGCGGTGGAGACCCACCCTCTGGGAAACATGGAATTAAAACAGATCCTTCCCCACCCGGGCCCTCCCGGGAGCAGGACACTGCCCGTTCCCTGCCGTTCAGCAGTCTCTGGGCCTGACTGGTGGCATCTCCCCTGCCAGACTCCCCAGGGGAAGCCCTCGGTGCCCTGGGGAGGTGGGGAAAGCCAGGGCTTCAGTTTCATTCTGGAGCCAATTTTTGTTCCTGATCTGGCTGCCTCGGCCCCTTCTCTGAAACCTGACCGGTCCGAGTTTGCTGCTCTCTTCATCTGGCTTGGGAAATCGCACTGTCTCTCCCCTTGGGAAGGCCTTGGAAAGGCGGAAATTACCAGGGGCTTGTAAGCACCCCTCCAGCAGCAGCGACCCCCCCCATGTTTGCAGAGGTGGCCTAGAGATCTGGGGGTCCCCAGGCCAGAAGGGGTTGTGATTTGCATCCCACCAGGAGGGGCTCCCACCTGAGCCTTGCAGCCCCAGCGCCAGTCAAGACACAAGGGCCCTTCCTGCCTTCCCTTGCCTGCCTTCCTTCCTGCCTGCCTGCCTGCCTCCCTCCCTCAGTGAGGGTTTGGGAACACCTGTGGAGCAAGGAGCAAGGGAGGCCTGGCCTCTGCCCTGGAGTTTAGGGCCTGAGGTGGAGACAAAAGGAAGTGTGGCCAAAATAAAGGAGCCGATGGACTGTCAGTGTGGAGGATCCCACGTGGGAGGCCCCCCAGGGCAGGCAGCGCCCGCCTGCACTACCTTCCATTCAGCGATTAGGGAAATGGAGTCGGCCGCCTGGACTCGCTGCTCATCCCTCCGGCCTGTCCCGGCGCTAGCTGACATTCCGCACAAGCGGGCTCCAGGAGCAGTGGATGTAAATTTGAAACTTGGATCCCGTATAGACTAGATCTGTGACCTTGCGCCCATTATTTGACTCTTGTGTGAACCTCAGTTTCTCCTCCTGTGAAGTGGGACAAGGGGGGACATAGCTCATGGTCTGCACGCAGACCGGCACGTGAAGTGTTAGACAGGGCAGGGAGGGGAGGGCGATGCCAGAGGACAGCCGTCATGTTCCCATGCTTAATAAGTCCCGGCGTGTGGTGGTGGCGGGGCGGGGGGGCTTTCCTGACCCAGGGGGCCCAGCCTGGATGAGCAAAGTAGGAGCTCAGGCACCAGACAAAAAACTGGCTCCACCTCTGAGTTGTGCAGGTGGGTCCATCCAAGTAGGTTCTAGACGTGCATCTCCCTCCGGGGGGCTTCCTGGAGGAGGCGGGAGGGTGTCTGGACAAGTATGGTCGCCCAGAGCACTGACATCCCTCCAGGAGGAGCAGCTGCCCTGGGAAGAACACTGGAGTGGGAGTCAGACCGGGCTGTGCCTCCAACTCACTGCCACACAAGCAAATCATCTGCACCCCCACCCCAAGTTTGTTTCTCTGTAACATGGGGATATGCAAGTAACCCCCTCACTGGGAGGTCATGAGAACAGGTGGGATCATGCTGTGAAATCGCACCACAGGGAGATTTCCTCCTCGGAGGTGGGGGTGCTGTCTGGAAGGGAGGGTGATGGCCAGCGGCCAGGCTGAGGGCTCTCTGTTCTCCACTGTCCACTCCCAGGTTTGGTTCAGTAACCGCCGGGCCCGTTGGCGTAAGCAGGCAGGAGCCAACCAGCTGGCGGCGTTCAACCACCTTCTGCCAGGGGGCTTCCCGCCCACCGGCATGCCCACGCTGCCCCCCTACCAGCTGCCAGACTCTACTTACCCAACCACCACCATCTCCCAAGGTGAGTGCCTGAGCCCGTCCTCGTCCTGGCCCCATCCGTTTCTTAACGAAGAAGGAATAACAAGGGTTCGCCACTCAGCCCTGGAGCTCGGCTCTGCCAACAGGCCCAGAGCACCAGGTGTGCTGTGGAGGTGGCCTCCGTGCTCACGTTCGGCACAGAGCTCCAAGCAGAGATGTCACATGAGCTTCCTGGGGTCTTACCAAAATGCAGGCGAGAGGGGGTCTCCCCTGATCTCCCAGAACCCAATTCTGTCCTCGCCCTCCCATCTGCCCCCACCCCCACTGCAGCACATACTAGGGATCCTAATGCTGGACATTGGCCTCATGAAGCCCTGGTGCCTCTAAAGGGCTGGCGGCCTGGAGTTCTGGAGGCCAAGAAGAGAGGAGGGGACCCTCCTCATGATTCTCGGGAAACTGACCCGTTACTGAGGCCCGTCCACTGGAACAGGACTGCACGGACGAGCCCTGACGGAGCAGAACAGCGCCCAGCAGCTCAGGGTGCAGATGGCACCTCCAGCCCTGACCCCACCTCTCACTGGCCCTGACACCTTGCATGGGCCTTGGCTTCTTCGCCTGTAGAATGGGACAGCAGTCTTGCTCCATACCCTTAGGCGACACTTATCAGAGCACCTGGCAAGTGGTCAGTAACAGCTATCAGGTCCACTGTCCCCTACAGATCTGACTTTCAGTCCAGATAACACTTTGTTGAGCCCCTGCTGTGTGCCGGGCACGGAGCAGCGGGGCCTGTGTGCAGCTGCCTGGGCCTGGTCTGGACTGCTGGCCGGCTGTCACCCAGGACTTGGCCAGTCCCTTGATCCGCCCAGGAGCATGTGCAGGCGGTGGTCCCTTCCCTCCAAGGAACAGACTGGGAGGAGGCTGAGGCTTGAGGTCCACCTTCCCAACAGGAGGTTCTGGTGAGGCACGAGCTCAGGCCTCTCCGGCTCTCTCCACAGACGGGGGCAGTACGGTGCACCGGCCCCAGCCCCTCCCGCCGTCCACCATGCACCAGGGGGGCCTGGCTGCGGCCGCCGCTGCCGACACCAGCTCTGCCTACGGAGCCCGCCACAGCTTCTCCAGCTACTCCGACAGCTTCATGAACCCGGCGCCTTCCAACCACATGAACCCCGTCAGCAATGGCCTGTCTCCCCAGGTAGGTCCCTCGCTCCTTGGCCTAGAACGCCACCCCCGGACACCACCGGCTCAGACGGCGAGGGCTTTGGGTGCAAAGCGGCTCTCCCTGGGGGAGGACACCATGACATCGCTGGCTGGGTGCCTTGAGAGCATGTGAGGGAGGTGGGGATGCCCCTGCCACCTTCACTTGCTGGTGCTCAGTGGCCCTCCCCTCATTTAAGCTCTTCTCGGCAGACCTGGCTGGCCCGGCAGGTCTGAATGTCTCAATGGCTGCAGTGAGGAGGTAGAAAGGGATCCAGGCAAGGTTCAGTATTTCTTGCCACTCAGAAACAGGGATTTACTACAGACTTGCTCCTGGCCCAACAGCCACCCAGAGCTTTTGAAATCTGCTTGCCACCCATCATGGCTCTGCCCAGGTCAGTCCTTTAAAGTCAGGCTTTTTCAGACAGTGTTGGTGGGCGTCTTGCACCATTCCCTGGAGGATGCAGACTGTGGTTAGGGCTTTGTTCTAGAACCGGGAATCCTTCCTGGATTCCACCCTGTTCCCACTCAACGGGAGTGACCAAAGAGTGAAAGACAAGCCCATGCCCTGTGGGTTGAGAGAACTGCACTAGCGTTCTAGATCAGGAACTGTGCTCCCATTGGGTCTGGGACCTCGTCTCTCATGGGCGATTGGTTGCTGGTCAAGTCACTCATCACCTGCTGGTGCCATTAGAAATCACAAGGCCAGGGCCTCCCTGGTGGTGCAAGGGGTTAAGATGCAACCTATGAAGCTGTCCGCAGCCACTGCAGAGCGAGTTTGATCCCCAGCCAGGTAGCTGCCCACATGGCACAGCAGACCTCTCCTGTCTCACCCGCTGCTCCCCTCAGCAGTGTATTTCAGTCAGTCTGCCTGTTCTGTTCCCCGTTCTGTCCCTGGTGAATCCTCTCACCCCCTGCACTCTGGCCTGTACCCCAGTTCTTGATGCATAAATAGATAAATCTTTTAAAAAAAAAAGAAATCACAAGGCCATTTCTGGATGAAGTCAGAAAGATGGTGATGGGGTTCTGGTGGGCCTGGAGAACAGGGCTGGGGATGTGGAACGTCCCAGTGGTTTTGAGGAACAGACAAGTTCATTTTTGTAACTATAGCAAGTTCTCAAATGTTTGTGTGAGAAGGAGTTAAATCCAGGGCTGGTTTGAACTCACCTTCCAAGACACCTGCCACTTGCCTGTGCTGGGAAGACGTGATACGCTGCCGTGGAAAGGGGAAGGCTGGTGGGCATTTCAGCCCCAGCACTGCCACTCAGTGATGTCAGGCAAGGTGGCATCTCTGGCCTCAGTTTCTCCTTGAAACACAGAGTGATTAGACAAAGCGTGTTAATAGCCTCATAATGAGGGTGCCCCCTGCTCCCAGTGTGCTAACAGGTGACAGCATCTAGCACAGAACCTGGCACAGACTGGTGCCAAGTATTGCCCTCCTCTTGCCAGGACAGTATAAAGGGAAACCTGTTACCTACAGGAAAAAAGGGTCCCACGGAGGGTCCGCACCCTTGGGGCCTTTGCTGTTCATTTGCATACTTAGGGCTCCTGCAGTATTTAAGCCTGAGATAGTTACTCTCTGACCCTTACAGGAAAAAACTGCCAACTCTTGGTCTAAAACATCCTCAAGACGATCATTTTCTGCATGTTTGGGGTTCATTCTCGTCCGCCTCTGTTCATGTGTGTATTAGGTTCCATCTCTCCCCTTCTCTCTGCCTCGATTTTCCATCCTTGAAAGGGGGTGGTACTAGCACGTCACGGGACCTTGCGGATGGAGTGAGACGATGCATTCACTGAGCCCAGGTTCTGGGCAGGGAGGGGCCCCAGGAACGGGTAACCCTAAGCCGCTGCAGGCAGAGCTCAGATGGCGATGCACCTTGGGGCCCTCTTGGGGTCCACATTATGGGGGGTGCTGCAGCCTGCCAGAATGTTTTTCCTGTGGAGCCTAATTGGCCTCTTTGCAGTTCAAGGCCTTGCCCTCCGTCTCATTAGCGCGAGGACTAATAGGCAAGCGAACCTTCCAGAGTCGGGAGCTAGACACAACAGGCCCCAGAGCGGGCTGGGTGGGGACAGCTGCAGAGACTGAAACGTCCTCGCCCGGGAATGTGGTGCAGGCCTGGCCTTGCGGCCCGAAACAAGTTGGAGGCACATCCCTTGCAAAGCTGAAGGGGGACTTTGAGATCAGGCGGGCCAGCTGTCCCCCTTTACAGAGGGAGGGGCCCCACACGCTGGCCAGCCAGGGCCAAGGGCCCAGGGCACCTGCTTCCTGACCACTGCTCCCCCAGCTCCCCAGCTCCTTGAGGACCCAGGTTTATCCCCCGAGCAGCACTTTTGCCATAGGGCAGAGGGGAGGCTAGCAAAGGAAGGGCCTGGCTTCTGGGGTGTGGTTCGGCGATGGGGTAAAGATGTTCTGTGCGCGAGGATCTCCCACGCACTCCTTGGGCCCAGAGGTGAACCTGCAGGAGGGAAGAGGAAGAGTCACTGACCCACCGCTGTCAGCCCCCAGATCGAGTCCGACCCTCGCCCCCCTCCCAGAGGCCCTTGAGGGGCTTCCTGCCCAGTCCTTGGGGGTGGAGAGGCTGTGAGGTGTGGTGAATTGGTTCAGAGACTCACCCCAAGGTTCCCACCAAAGGTGTGAAGACAGATGGGGGTCTGACAGGGGCAGAGGGGACTGGGAGGTGAGCAGCTGCCGGAGGAGGGAGGGGCGCGCGGTGGCGCCAGGACAGGCGGAATGTGCTTCTGTGCACGTGAACCTGCCAGGGTTAAGCTGCGAGCACTTCCTGCAGGAAGGGGGCAGCAGGGGGTGGGGGCTGGGTCTTGCGCAGAAGCCCCAGGCAGTTCTAAGCCCTGACTCCCACCGCCTGAGCAGGCTGCGGCTCCTTGTCGGCACATCTCTCTGGGCTCGGCCCTGTGCTGTCTCCCCAACCAGAGGGGCTTCTCCATTGCTACCTGGGCTGGGTGGGGGGATGGGGCTGCCTGCTGGGCTGTGGGGCTGGCACGCGAGCCCCTCACCCAGGACTGCAGGACCCCCTGCCACTCCCACCAGAGAGCCTTGGCAGTTGTGCTCACAAAAGGGAGCTCGCTGAGGGGCAGAGGTGGAGTTCTTGCTCATCCCCAGTTGATGGGATTCTGGCCCCTGACCCTGGAAAATGGGTGTTGCTGAGCCCCAGGGACTCCACGGAGAGACTGCCCAGCAGAATGTCATAGAAAACAGTGTGCTCAGCCCAGCTCTGCGAGCCAGGTCTGACCCAGGCTCGCACAGGACAGCCAGCTCATGGTGCCTGCTGTGTGCCAGGTGCTCTAGGCACCAGCAGGAGCTGCCCTCGTAGGGCTGGCAGCACAGCAGGGCAGACAGATAATGAATATGGTTAAAAACAGGCCTTGTGATATCTTGACACCCATGTTGACAGGACGGCTGAACTTTCTGAGCCCCTGTGACTACAGACCCGGGTCTGTTTCCTACGTACTAATCCGCTCAAGGGGCAGAGCCAGCCTCCAAGGGCACGTCTCTGCAGCCTGAGATCGTCACCATCCAGCTGCCCTCCTGCCTCACAGGAATGCCCACCCTCACTCTCCAGAGATTAACTGGCAGCAAGAAGAAATCATCTGGGGAAGCTGGTCTGGCTTATGGGGGAGGAGCACACTCAGCCCATGTGGTGGATGAAAAGTTGGGGCGGGGGCCTCAGTTAGGGGCCAGCGGGCAGAGCTGAGCAGTACACACGGCAACCTGCGGAGAGGTTTCCATGTCCTTGAGATTGGCGCCCTTGCAGTCCAGTCCTCATGTGTCCCCTAAGCCCAGCCTTGTAGGATCAGCCGCGCAGCCCACGGGCGTCCCTGGTCCTTGTGGGGAATCCTGCCCATGAACCAATTCCCTGGTGGGGGGCGGGGCTCACAGTCCCGCAGCCTGAACCAAGGCTCATTATTTGGAAAATGGCTCTTAGAAAACATCTCGGGGCAGCTTAGCACAGAAGGAACCTTCCGAGGTGTGAATGTCAAGGGTGAAGGGGTGCCCGCAGGTCCATCTCTTCATGCCAGCCAGGTCTGTCTGGGAATGGCCAGCAGAGCACTTGTTAGGGGTCCTGGGCAGAGACAGAGGCGGGATGCCCAGGCCTGCCCTTTAGGGTTCCCCAGTCTGGCAGAGAAAGGGGACCACTCAGCCCCAGTCGTGAGGCTGCTCCCCAGCTGAGAGGACGACCCAGATCCTGGATCAGGAGTCACAGACCCTTGTCCTTAGACACCCCAGTCTGAGGATGGAAGCACAGCCTGGGTGTGATGGGGAGACAGGCCTTGGGGGTCGCAGCTCTTAGTGGTCCAAGCTCCCAAGCGAAGAAGCCGGAGCAAGTCCTGCCACCCCGCGGCTGGAGGTCATGGCAGGGGCCTGAGCCAGCTTCATCAGGGCCTGTGTGGGTGTCTCTGGGGGACACATAGCAGGAGCCTCCTTCTCCCGTAAGTTTTTAAGATGCAGACCCTGTAAGAGCTGGTATTGGAAACTGAGGCCTGAAGAAGGGGAGAAAATTGTCAGGAACCCACACTGTTGGGTTAGCAGCCGAGCTGGGTGTGCCCCTTTCTCTAGCTCCTGGGGCCCGGGGGAGACCCTGAGAAGGAAACGGGAAGGAAGATGGAGGCAGAAGAGCTGCTGGGGGGCGGGGGGGACAGTGGTGGGGGGCAGGGCGGGGCGCACGAGCGGTTCCAGACCCCAGCTGGGGCGTCATGGACAGGGGGCTTCTGTCCTGCCACCGTCCCTCGTTTTGCTCCTTAATGTCCCACATTTGCCATCCCTTGGCTCTTCTCTGGAGCTGAACACAAGGAACCCGTGAAAGGGATTTACATACTTACAATCCCCCCCACCCCCCGCCCCACGGAACTAAAGGAAACACTCTGGAAGCGTGCAGTCAGCCACATGGCCGCCATCACAGCTCCCCCAGCCTTGTGTCCTTGCCTGCTGCTTGAGGTTTTCCCCCTTCCTTCCTGCGCACGTAGTAATTCCAGTGCAGCTAC